AGAATTGTTATCTTCATCAGTCCTGCCCTTCAGATTACTTTGTTGCTGGAATGTTGGATAGATTTCATTTGTAGCAAATACCTAAGTGAGTGCTTCAACAAATCCGAGTAATGGTGGAAATGGTGCATGAGGTGTAAACTAAAAATATTACCTCAGATGAATAAATAAATCATAAAAATTGCTATTTAATGTCAGGGACTGTTGAAGGGATATTTTGAAGCAAAATTTAACCAAGACATGAGTTTTAAAGTAGTCGTCCAGAGGCAGACATGCTGACATTCTGTTCATCATTTATGACCTAGGATTTGCATTTTGTAAAGCTCAGAATAAAACATCGTGCATGATATATTTTAAAACAGCTTTAATTCTTATCATTTAACCATATATTTTGAAATTTCTTATGAATGATTATATATCTACTTCATTATTTTCAACTGTTTACTGTTATGTATTTAAATGGCAAAGAGAGTACAAAAGAGAGAGAGACAAAGGGAGAGGGAGAAAAAATATGTTTCATCTGCTGGTTCACACTCATCAAATGCTTGCAACAGGGCCAAGCTGAAAAAACGTGCTCAGAACCTAATCTGGGCCTCCCGTGGGGGTGACAGGAGTGTTGGAGCCATCAGTTGCCATTCCCTGGGATGTACGTTATGAGGAAACTGGACGGGAGGTCAAGACATGACCCAAACCCAGCTACCCAACAGAGCTCGCTCGAAGCAGCAGCCTGCCCTGCCATGCTCCGTGCCACGCAGCAGCAACCCACCCTGCCATGCTCCGTGCCACACAGCATCATGGTTGCTGCTGCATTTCACAGCATGGTTTTTTAACCAGCCCCTTCACAGTGAACAGCACATTGCTAAGAAGTGATTTGAGGCAGGACCAGTGTTGTAACAAAGGGGAGATACTGACACCCCATAGGAAGGCCAGGTCGAGTGCAAACTGCTCTCTGATGACTCATTTAGGAAAGCTGCAGGAACTGGGCTGAGCGCTTGGGTTCCTGTGCCTACGTGGCAGACCTGACTGAGTTCCAGGCTCCTGGCTACGCCCTTCTCCAGTCCTGGCCACAGTGTGTCTGCTGAGAAGTGAACCCACTGATGATGATTTTTTAAAAACTCTGTTGCTATCTCTTTGTAACTCCACTCTTCAACCAAGAAATCCCCCACCACACACACACACTTCATCCTTCATTGGAGCTTTGCAGGTCCTTGTCCCCCATTTGGGAGCTCTTCCAAAAGGCATTTGCTCACCAGCCAGTGTCCCTGTAGCAGTGGCTTCCTCTCCAACTTGGTAGCGCCGAGTTCGGGAGTCGTGTCCTACTCCTGTGTGTGCTCCACTTCCAGGACTGCTGTAGCTTCTCCTGAAAGTAGTGGGCACTTGGCTCCGTGGCAGCAGCCCAGCGCAGCAACAACCCAGAGGACACAGAGCCCCACCTGGCACGGCCACCCCGCCTTTCACCCTTACTCAGTAAATCAATCTAGAACGATGACAATTTTAAAAGGAAATGGTTTAACGAGCATTGTTGAGCATACTTTTTTGCACCTACCAAGTATTGTTGCCTCAGGGTTGATTTCTGCATATGGAAATTCTTTTTTAAAATTCCTAATTTTTATTTTGGATGATGTGTATATAGTTGGTCACGGTGGGAAGGATCAAGGGTTAAGGAAAAATGGGTGTGGTCATTGTTTCCGATTTTTCTATTCTTCCTGTTTCTGGGGAAAGGGGGAGACAAGGAGAGGAGCCTTACCTAGCCTCCCAGCACCAAGGGATGGCGCTCCGCCTCTCTGCATCAACCCAAGGTTCCAACGTGGCACACGCTCCGAGGGTTCTGCCAGGTGATTTTGTTGGTTCTGAAATGCTGTGGATCTCACCAACACAAGGATTAAGAAATTCTTCCAATGTCCACTGGCTGACATAGTTGACCTTAGAATCTCCATTCACCCGGATTTACTTTTTTTGAGAGGAAAAGATATATACAGAAAGAGGGAGGGAGGGAGAGTGAGAGAGAGAGACAGAAAAATAGAGAGAGAGAATGCACAGCTACTGTGCGCTCCCCTCAGCTGATTCCCTCCCCAGGCGCCTTCAGGGTGCCAGCCCCGGGAGCTGTAAGCATGAGCCGGGTCTCCCAAGTGGACAGCAGGAATGTGGGCTCTTGTGCCATCACCACTACCTGCCAGGGTCAGTGCTGGTGGGAAGCCAGTCAGGCACCTGAATTGAGCCGATCCGAAGCCAGGGACTTCTTTCAGGTGCAGGGTCCCCACGCGTTGGGCCATCCTCAACTGCTTCCCCAGGCCACAAGTAGGGAGTGGATGGGAAGTGGAGCACCCAGGACATGAACTGGCACCCATACAGGATCCGGGCACATGCAAGGTGAGGATTTAACCACTAGGCTACCGTGCAGTGTCCAGTTTATTTTTTCCTAATGATTTGTACATGATATAAATACTAACACTTTGCTATTTGTATGCATGAATTTATGTATTTTTCTTAATTTCCCTCTAAAACATTTCTAATTTTATGGATTTCTCTCTTCTCAATTCACAAAGGTTACTTTTAAAATGGTCAAATCTGTTCATCTTAACCTTTTGTTTCTGATACTGGTATTAGATTATTTCTCAAGGGACAGCAGATTTTAAATTCTTTCAGGAATTGCCAGCCGCATCCAGGTACATTCCAGACCCCTCATCTACACTGTCCATCGCATTCTAGTCTCAGCTTCTCTGGCCAAACGGAGTTCCTGCCACTCTTTAAAGGCACATTCTCTGCCCTGGGAAGCTTAGTCTTCTGCATGTTTCTAGTGCACGGGCTCTGGAGTAGAATGGAGTAGAGTGGTCTCTTTCATTTACCAAAGGAATGCTTAGAGGGTGTGCACTAGCAGCAGGAGGGTGGAACTGGAGCCAGAGCCTTGGGCAGAACCTGGACATCCCCCCCTGAGTCGCCTGCACCAGCTGAGCCTAACAGTAGCCACTATTTTATTCCTATTTTTCTCTTCTGTATAAGCATTCTACTGAAGAACTTATGCATCAGGAAGTCTAAAAGCAAGTTACAACGTAAACATCTCGACTTGAGTGTATAACATCGATGGACTGTAGGCAGAAGGTGCTTGGTCTGTGGGCTCCGTGAGAGAACAGAAGCTTGGGTTGCAGGTGCTGGTGCTTAGGTAGGGGTTGTGTTCCTGCTCAGGAATGAGGCAGGCCGATCCTGTAATTCCTCCACAGATGTGAGTTGCCCTGACAAGAAGCCAGCTTCTCGCCTTTCAGATCCACAGCCTACATCACAGGCCGCATGCTCAGTTAGGAAAACAATCTATTTGTCTCTCTGCTTAAGTACCTTGGAAACCCAATCTGTTAACATTTTTTTTCCAGCACACTAGTATTTGTATTGGTACAGCAAATGCCGTACATTAGAAGTAGCAGTGATAAACCAGTAACTAGCCTTAAAAAAAAAAAAAACTAAAATAATTGGTAAACTTATTTTACACATTTTTTCTGTAGTCATATTTTGGATACTATTTCTCCTTCCATCTGGCACCTGAGCATCTTGCAGCACTGTTCTGACTTTGCTTCCTCTCACTCGTTCATTCAGATCACCTGTCAAGTGTTCACCATGAACTTGGGACAAGGAGAGGACTCAAAGATGGCCTCTGCGCTTGTTCCAAGTGTTGGGCAGAACAGATAACAAACATAAACACAAGCACGCAACAGAGTGTGGCAAGAACAGGTGGCTGGCAGAGTAAACAAGCAAAGCAGTGATCTACTTCAGGAAATCTGAAGATGAGAAGTCAGGAGGTCAAGAAGGAACGGAAGTGAAGATTCTGAGGCTGTCGAGGCTTTAGCGCCTGCAGCCGGAGTGAGAGCGCGGAGACCCCCTGGATTTCAAGGGTGGGCCTTCTGAGCTTTATTTTTGCAGACACCTACAGGTGTTTTTTTTTTTTTTTCGGTTTGTTTTCATTTTTTTTTAAGGTTCAGAGTTCATAGATAATTAAATCAACACTTCAAACAAATGAACCTCTTGGTTGTTCGCCACCCATTTCTCCCCACACTTGGTAGTGAATATCCGTTTGGAAATGCTCCAGCTACAAGAAAAAAAAAAAAAAAAAAAGAACCTGTCTCCAGAGTAAGGCGTTTCCAGGATCTGTGCTCGGGAGCTCCACATCTCAGCAGGGCGTCCTCGCGCCTTCCCGCGCAGCCCGCGCCCCGGAGCCCCCGCACGGCGCCCCGCAGCGCGCTGGGCTCAGGTGCGCTCCTCGGCTCCGACGCGCGCGGGAGCCGGCTCGCCGCACGAGGGGCGGTCGGGCCGCGGGGACAGAGGCGGGTTCCCGCCGGGCCTGCCCGGGGCGTGGCCGAGCCGGGGGCGTGGGCAGCCGGGGCGGGACGGGCGTCTGCGCCTCGGCCGCCAGGCTCTCCCCGAGCTGTGGCGGCGGCGGCGGCGGCGGCGTCTCGGTCGGGAAAGCCGGGCCACCCACGGGCTGGTGGGCGCCTCTCAGCCACCCCACCCTCCCCGGGCTGTGCAAAGCGCCGAAGGTAAATCTGCCCGGGCCCCCGGCAGCTCGAGCGCCCGGGGCCCGGATGGGGGCGAGCGGCTGGACGGAGGCGGAGGGGAGCGTTCCGCGGCCAGTCGCTCGGGCAAGCTGAACTCGTCTCGGGCTGCTTGTGGCTCGCGCCCCGCAACTTGGTGGCGGGCTGGATCCGTGCGGGTGGTCTCCGGGCCCGAGAGGGACGCGGAGGCGATTGTATTCATCGTGCTGAGCGACTGCCCGGATTCCTGTGCGGGGTCACACGGCGTCGTGGGGGCAGTTTGTGCCCGAGGAGGACGGGCGTGGAGGTGCCGGGAGCCGGGTCCCGCGCCGCCGCGGGGTGACCGCCAAGCTCGGCGCGCGCGCGGGAGGCTGCGGGACGCGCCAGGTCGTCTGGAGGCGACAGCAGGCAACTGATTTCCTCGTCGGGCCGCGCTGGGTGAGCGCCGCTTCCCTCTGGGGGCTGACCCGGAGGTTCCAACCAGCCATGGAAGGCGAGAGCGAAGTGGATTTTTCTAGCAACAGCATAACCCCTTTGTGGCGGAGGCGGTCGACCCCCCAGTCCCAGCTGCTGGGCCGGAGCAAGCCGAGGCCCCAGTCCTACCAGAGCCCCAGCGGCTTGCTCATTACCGATTTCCCCGTGGAGGACCTGGGGCCCCTTCCCGCCGCAGCAGCGCACACTCCCGCCGCGCTGCCCACCGCCTCGAGGAGCCCGCTGCGCTGGTGCGCCCAGCGGAGCGCTGTGCCCAACGGCCGGACGCTCAGCCCGGAGCACGGGGCGACCTCTCCTGGGCTCCGGCGGCCCGAGTCGCCCCAGGTGCTCGCCCTGGCCAAGTGCCCCGCCGACGGCCCGGTGGTCCCGGCCGCGCCGCCGCGCTCCCCGCGGACTCCCCACGCGCCCGCCCCCTGCAGCCCGCCGGAGAAGCCGGCCGCCGCCTGTGCCAGCCCCGTGCCTTCGCCCACCGCCAATGGCCTGGCGCCTAATAAGGACTCTCCTGGGACGGCGGGTGCGCAGCTCCGTCAGATGGCTGAGGACTCGGAGCGAGGACCCTCGAGGCTCTCTCCTGCGCCCCAGAATATGGCTTCGGAACAAAAACTGCCCCTGCAGAGGCTGCCCTCCAGGGAGAACGACTTCTCCGAGAAGCCCGCGGTGATTCTGAGCACCCACAGCCCTGCCGCCCTCAAAGTGGGCAAGCAGCAGATCATTCCCAAGAACCTGGCCTCGGAGGTTAAACTCAGTAAATCCAACAGTCAGAACGTGGAGCCGCACAAGAGGCTCCTGAAGGTGCGCAGCATGGTGGAGGGGCTCGCGGCACCCCTGGGCCCCGCCGGGGAGGAGGGCGAGGTGGAGAACGACCTGGACAGCCCCGGCTCTCTGCGCAGGGGCCTGCGGTCCACCTCCTACCGCAGGGCCGTGGTCAGTGGCTGCGATTTTGACAGCCCTATTACGTCCAAGAAGAAGAACAGACTGTCCCAGCCTGTTCTGAAGGCAGTAATGGAAGACAAGGAGAAGTTCTCCAGCCTGGGCAGGATCAAGGTAAGCGTGGGCAAGCGGCCGGCAGGCCCTGCGCTGAGTGAGACAGGAGGGTCCTGGTGAGGTCGCTGGATTCTGCTTGGGAATGTTGACACAGGGAGCAGCTCAGTCAGTTCTGTGGCTCACCGCGGCCCCGTGGGAGGAAGTGAAACTCCTGTCACTTTGAGCTTTCCAAGTTCAGGCTAACTCTGCAGGAGGAGAGACGCGTTGTGGCCGAGCCAGTGCTGAGCACTCTCACTGCAGGTGCGGGCAGCCGGGTCTGCACTCCACTGTGGTCAGCCTGGCCTTTGCTTATGTGGGTCAGTAGCAGGTGGCTGTACCACAGCCGATGGTCCGGGACCCGTGGTGTTTCCTCTTGAATCCGTTGGTGACCTTGCACTTTCATTGCAGAATCGCCTTTTCAATGGCGGTCACACAGACGATGACTGTCAGACGACTTGCTCATTTTCTAATCAGTCCTCAGGATCTCAAAATACGAGTTTATCATCTGTTTTGTTGCTTATTTCCGTTACTAGGGCCTCTTTCATTTCCATTTTTATACCTACTTGTCATCTGGTGCATTTGACAAATGGCGAGAGCAAACTTTTCGGATTGGCGCCTGGTGCACACGCAGGAGCTGTGCTCTGTGCTGTCGGAGAAGAGCTACAGAAGAGCAGAAAAGCAGCAAGGGATGCTGTTTTGCCTCCTCCGGAAGCAAGGCGCAGCTCAGCAGTAGAGCTGGGATGCCTTTTAGCAGGCACATTTTTTCTTGATTAATCAGAGAACTGGAACCAGTCTATATAAATGTCACATATGTAAGACACAAGCAAGCCTGTTTTATTTTAGAGAGTGTGGGCTTAAAGAAAAGACATTATATAACATTTTATGTGTCTTTTTTTTTTTTTTAATTTTAAGTAGAGAAAAGTTGAGCGGTACAGGACTGGGGAATCAGAAGTGATGGAATGAACTGAGCCACCGAACATCGGAGGCTTTGCAGCCTGTTTTGATGGGGTGTGTGGGACTGTCGGTTTTATTTCACCCCCTTCAGGGAGCTGCTGTGGGATCATCTGATGGGTTTTGCTTTTCAGAAAGGTCATGAATGGAACAATGAAGAAAGTGCTTTTCCTGAAAATTGCTGTATTTTCTATTTGGCTCATTCAAACATAGACACTTTGCTTTTTCCTCCTTTTTTTTTAAAAAACATGTGTTTGCTTCTCTCGTAGAAAAAAATGCTGAAAGGACAAGGAACATTCGATGGAGAAGGTAAGCATGCAATTTTCCAGACTTTTATTGCTGTTTCAATGTGGAATATCAATTATAAGTTGAAATCCAATGGCAGTAACAAAAACACTGAAAATGAGACAGAAGTTCAAGTTCTTAGCGAATTATACGGGGCAAGATTCTGCAGTAAGCTCAATTGTCTTCTGATAATACCGAGAGTGGATAAAACCCCTTTCTAGAAGCGGATAGCTTGTCAGTGTTGTAGTATTTTTAATTCTTCTCTGCCTTGGCCCCATCCCAGTCTTTTCTCATAAAGAGCAGAAAGAGTAGGCCCTCGATTTTAAGCTAAAAGGTTTGAGTTTGTTGTTTAGATCTTAAGTCACATTCTCAGGTCACGTTTCCGTTGTCATGGAGATGCTTTTCCCCATCATTCCACATTTGATTAGCTTTTCCGATTTGTGTTTCCTTTGGCGAACTATAACTTTCCTGGCTGACAGAACATATTCATAAGGGTTTGTAACCCATATAGTATTTTTGTGAAGGATCTCAAAAACAAAAGCAGCTTTTACCAGGTGTTCAGACCCTAATCAGATTAGTAGACTTTCTGTAAATAGATGGCTCAAGTGTCGGCAAGGAGGCGGCCCTCGCAGCTGCATCCTTTGAGGGCTCAAGGCTCCGGGTGACAGTGAGTTTAGTTGCTTTCTGTCATTGCTTTGCTAGTGCTAAGGTGTTCCAACTTTCCCAAAACTATGAAGTATGTGCCTCTCTATAAATAAAACTTCCCAGAGCCAGAGCGTTGGGTTATCGTTGAACTAATCAGGAAGTCATTGGAAGCGAAGAAGAAACCTAGGTGTTTTTAACAGGTTCGGAGAATTCCAGCGCCCTAATTTGATAATGGAGGAACACAGCAGAGAAGTTTAGTAACTTGTTCCCTCGCACACAGCTAGACACATAGACTAGATCAGAGAGCCTTCTCTTGCTTGCATCTGCTTTGTTTGTTCCCGTCTGAATGGCCAGTGAAGACAGCATCCCCCTAAAGCCTTCTTAGGGGGCTCCTGTAATTTGGTGTTGACTCTGTCCAGTCTTTCCTTGAGAGGGTAAAAAGTCAGAGGGCAGACCTTCATTCAAACTTGTGCAATTTCTTCTTGTAAGTACCTTTCTATGTATTGTTTTTTCTCTTCTCTCAAATGTGTTAACACTGGAATCTACAGACACATCAGGGATGCAGGGTTCTTAACATTCAGTGGCTAACAGAAGTGGACCTGTGTGAGTTAGCTTTTTTGGGTCACTGTCATAGGGACCTTAGAGATCAAGTGGGCCTCACTGGCTTGGTGGGGCTGGAGGATGAGAGACGAAGAGCAGGTGCTATGGAGCAGAAAGATTAGGAGTGCAGGTGTGGCCTCTCCTGGACAAGCCACCGTTCACGGGGCTCATCTCCTGAACATCTTCTAAAGACTGTACTGAAGGTGGGTGTTTGTCCCATTCGGTCAAACTTCCCTTAGATGCCTGCATCCCATACCTGGGCTTGGGGCTCACACCTGCTGCCCCTTGCGACTTCTTCCCAGTGTGCAGCAGGTGGCGGTGTAAGTAGCTGGGCCCCTGTCCCCGATACGGGAGAGCTGAATTATGTTCTGGCCTCCATTTGGAGAAAGAACGAGCAAATGGGATATCTCTCTGACGTTCTCAGTGACTCTCTGCTTTTCAAGTAAACAAAACTTAAAACTAAAGGCCGCACCTTCAGACAACGTTATAAGCTTCCACCCTTAATCAGTTAACTGTTAGTAATAATCCATAACCATTAAGATCAAACCTTGGGGTCCAAGCCTTTACAATATGAGTCTTCGGAGGTCATGCAAGCTGATGTCAAGTCACAGCAGTGACTCGGGAAGCAGTGTGGGTGAGTGGGCAAAGCCTGTGGTCCTGGAGCCGCGCGGACCTGGCTTCCTGTCCACTGCTTCTACTCTTCGGTTGGGTCACACTGAGCCACAGCCTGCACTCACTGGGCCCCAGTTTTATCCTGTGTGACGTGAGGCTAAGAGTACTGTGACCTACCTTGTTGTGAGAGTCGACCAGAAATACTAACAATGTTATGCCCTTTCTGGTGCCAAACATGAAGTGGTTTAAAGACCGTGGAAAACTCGGTTTTCCTGCTCTGTTTTACATACGTGTGCAGAGCACTCGGACGTCAGTCAGATCTTGCATAGACCCCGGGTTAACTGTGGTGCATACTGAACTGTCTCTGGTTGGCTAAGACAAGAGGCCAATGTTTGCCTTCGTAGATAGGAAAGGCATTTCAAAGAGTGTTTTCCCAACCAAACTGATAATGGTTCTCACTAAAGCTGAATTTCCTGTGTTCTTGTCTCCTGCTTTCAGGTGGAACCTGAAGCCTAGAAAGCACCCTTCCCTCTCCCTCCCGATCCCTGCCCTTCCTTCTCTCTGTCCCTGCACGCAGGAGTCCGTTCTAACTCTTGTGGTCCCAGAACCCATTGTCATTGGTGACCCCCGTAGCATCCTCATCTGTCACCGTATAATGACAGTCTAGGGAAATCTTTCTTTTTCAGTGAATTCTGATTGCACTTAGGATGAAATGTAATCATTACAGTGTGAACGAAACTGCCCTCTGTAAATCCAAGGTAAAATCCAGTCCTCAACGTGCCCTACGACTTGGAGTGTTTAACTTTTGTTGCTCGAGAGCCCGGAGCAGCTGCAGCCGCTCTGGCCTGCCTTTATTCTTAGCACCTGTGAGCTTTCCCCTCGCCTCGGGCCTTGAGCAGAAACTTTTTCCTTTGCCTCAGTAACTCCTTAACCTTCAGATCTTAGATTTTCATTATTGACATTTCCCTGACCCCTGGACAAGGTAACACCTTGCTGAGAACAGGTCTATGTAAGTTACATACCTGTTTGCACCTAAAGATGCTGACCTTTGACCTAAAGGTACTGACCTTTGACCTAAAGATGCTGACCTTTGGTTTCCATGTTTTCCCAGTAACTTTTGAAGTATCCTCATAGATCTTTGTCGTCCACATGACCTGGGTACAGCTGGTTCGCGTACTCCTACCCAGCGGTCTCCTCCCCTGGGGCGTTTGAAGCAGCCCTTCCCACTGGGGAGATGCTTGTTAATCTAGCTGCCCGTGTGGGGATTTGTTTTTCTGAGCTCTTTTATGTCGTTAGTTCAGTGCTGCCTTGGCTCTGCTTTCCTGAACCGCTGTTTAATGTCTTTGTGTCTTCTTTCTCGTCCTTCCCTTCCTCTTTCTCTGTTTCTTTTAATGACACTTACTGATATCCTGCATATACAAGACGCATTTATTTATCATGGCTAATTTCTCTCTTCCTTATGGTTCCATGAAAAGTGGGATTTTTATCTGTGTGTGTCCCCAGTGCCTAGCAGCAGCTGGCCTGTAGGAAACATTTTCTAGGTGTCAGCTGAAGCAATGCATGCATGCAGGAACGAATTTGACTTTTTCTCATCACATTCTTAGCTCACGAAAGCAGAGCTGCCATTCTTAAAGATTTCTTTTTTTATTGGAAAGTCAGATATGCAGAGATAAGGAAATACAGAAAGAAAGATCTTCCGTCCACTGGTTCACTCCTCAAGTAGCCACAATGGCTGGAGCTGGGTTAAACTGAAGCCAGGAGCCAGCAGCTTCCAGGTCTCCCACGTGGGTACAGGATCCTAAGGCTTTGGGCCATCCTCAACTGCTTTCCCAGGCCACAGGCAGGGAGCCGGATGGGAAGTGGAGCATCTGAGACATGAACAGGCACCCATATGGGATCCTGTCGGATGTAACATGAGACTTTTAGCCACTAGGCTACTGCACTGGGCCCTAGCCCTCTGTTTTATACTTTGTAAGTAGAACCTGACACATTCTGGATATAGATGAAATATTTGTTCACTTTGGGTCACTGAATGGTGACGGGCATTTAAGTAAAGGTGAGGTATAAATCCAGTTTCATCTAAATACCATTGATGTAAGAGACCTGAATCCCCTTCCTGCTTGGCTACTGGCGAAAGAAGTGTTGGTTCAGTTGGCATGTCATATGTGGTGCTTCCCCTGGCCCTGCAGATGTGGTTGGGAAGGAATGAGGTGGGTGAAAAAGCCACTTTTCTGCAATTACTTTGCAGTGACAAAATCTATTAATGTCTTTGCCCAAAGTTGATTAAGCTGGGGGCAAAGCGTTGTGTGAGTATGGAGGCTGTTTATTAAAAGTTGTATTGTGATTGAGGGCACTGAATGATAGCCAGGGCTTGTTTTCTTTCAGAAAATGCTGTCCTGTATCAAAACTACAAAGAAAAAGCCCTTGACATTGACTCTGATGAAGAGTCGGAGCCCAAAGAGCCCAAGACGGATGAGAAAATCGTGGTCCAGCACAAGCCGTTGCGGTCCACGTGGAGCCAGCTCTCCGCGGTGAGTGCTCGCCTCCTGCCCTGCTCGGGAGGGTAACAACCAGCTTTGGGAAACTCGCCGTGAACGTGGCTTCTGCGTTCTATGCCGGGATCTTTGTAACCCCACGGAAGAACACTCTTCAAGTGTAGATTGTGAATTGTCGCCCAAAACTCTTGAGGCACTCCTGAGCCCGTGAATTTGGGCAGCTGTGATTAGGCAGATTCGATTTGGAGGTGTTTATATCGTGGACTCTGGAAACACTTAGTGTATTTTCATTCTTTATTCCTTTTAAAATGAACAGGGACTTTTGTGGTGATAATGTGACAGCTACCGGATCATAAATTGGCTAAATACACATATGAGGGCGCTTCACTGAAATACACTCATCTGTTCCATTTTTCCACGAAGTTTCCGACACGTGCTCATCTGTGTGTGTGTTTACATAGTGGTCCCTTGAGTGAACGACTCCATCTCTCCTGTCTGCTTTTGTGACTGTCTCCATGTGCGTCCGTGCACAGGAGCTGCACAGGATGCTGACTTGGATGGTGGTGCATGGCCTCAGAATCAAGGTGGTGCACCTCTAGAAGTCCTTAAGTACTAGCAGAGCAGAGCTGGTTCCCTCTTCAGCCACAGTGGGTGCTGTTCAGAGTCAGGAATCTCAGGTATCTTGCGAACCCACCAGTGTGAGTCAGGGAGTTGTATGTATTGTCAGTGTACAGTGAGTGTGTTGGTGGTAAGGGGTGGCTTTCGGTTCAGGATCTACCTCCCCTCCACGTAAAGTTTTGGAAACCAGGTTCAGCTGCCCTTCTCTCCCTAATTTTGTTCTAGGGAGAATCTATGAATTTGCAGTGCCTCCGCAGCATGGTACCCCGTGTGCTCTGGCACAGATGCCAGTGCGGGCCCAGCAGCAGGACTGGGGAGAAGTGTGGCGCCCCAACCCTACATACATTGAGCAGCTGCTGCTTAGCTCAGACCTGGTCAGCTCAGTGCTGCCAGGATCTCTGATAATTGGCAAAGAAGACTTAGAGACTTTGAGCAGCATTATTGTAACTTGCACTTCAGCAGAAGGTAGTGTGAATCCAACGAAGTATTTGGGCCCCACTTGGTCCCTGTACTGACGGTTTGCAGCTTCTGTGATGTTTGTATGATTGTTGTGCATGGTCCAGATCTCGTGGCCTCATGATATATGTGTGCCAAAAATAGCCAGATGGAAGAACTGGCACCGAGGCTAGGGCAGCCAGCACTACAAGACTGGCATCGTGCCGATTCAGTTGTTGAAATGACTCGTTCGCTAGAGGATCTGGGAGAAAGCGGCTGTGGATTTTTTCGTTTTCTCTGTGATAGCAGCTGCATCTGCCAGCCCAGGCGCAAGTCCCCCTGTTGGTGTCTGAACACTCAGCAGAAATGTAGACTTAAGTCAGCTTTAGCGCTGAGACCCAGGCTGCCGTAGTCATGCCTCCTGGAGTTCGGCTTCCTTCGAAAGAACGGATGCACATGTACTTGCATAGCAACGCGTCCTCCGGGGCAGCCTCAGCTATGGGCTCACATTTGATTTGGCAAAAATACAGTTGTGTTGGTGTGCCTTTGGCTAACAAGCTCGGTACGAAAGCACCGTCTTACAATAAAATGCAAAGCTGTAAAGTGAATTCCAGCTGCAGTGCGTGTTATCTTGGATTTGAGTGTGCCCGGAAGGCTTGTGTGTATTTATTGTGTTGCTTGGCAATTATATTTAATCAATGCAGCATGATTGGACTTTGCCATTTAGCATTGTGTAGGCCCTGTCTTACATTTTCTTGGTGTTTTGTACCTGATTTTTGCTTAAATGTTAACATTTTCATTTTTCCTTAATGGTAGGCAACTGCCTGGGTTACCTCATACCTAGGCAAGTGTTACACAGCTGGAAGAAGGGCAGCCAAGGCTGGCGGGCATCCTGGGCCTGGTTATGCCAAATGTGTCTTAACTAAACCAGTGTGCTAACAGAGTTTGCCTATTCTATTTTTTTGTTTGTTTATTTGTTTGTTTCTAAGATATGTGGGGAAGGCAGGGAATACTGGGCTGGGTCAAGCCACCCCAGACCCCAAGACAGGAGACTTTCAGATTGCCCAGAGAGAGGGGTGTGGGAACAGATTGGAGTGGGAATGGCCATGTTTGATAGGGGAGTCATGACTTCTGGGGTCTTCCACAGACCCAGTCACTGCACTTGCAGTAGATGGAGTAGTTTGGAGAGGGGGAACTACAGGGTATGTCTGGGTCAGATCAAGGTACCAGCTCATGTGGATGACCTTGGCTGGGCTAAATTGCATCACCTGCCGCTCAGAAGCTGGGGGTTGGGGACATGCCTGGCTGGTAGGTGGGGTTAAGCCACGTCAGGCCTGGCTGCAGCACCTACCAAACACAGAGAATTAGATCTGGGGGCAGATCCTGTAGGTGACTGTGGGCTCTACTCTTGGAACTTTAGCAGCTGCCTCTTTGCGTGGAAAACTGGGACTGGTGACAGGCTGAGCCAGGCTGGACCACGGAAGTGTCCTGGACCTGACAGAAGCCCACCTGACACTCATGGCAGCCATTGCCCTGGGGCAGCTGGGCTGGGCCAGGCTGCAGCACCCACTGGCACATGCAAGGGCCAGAACTGAGGACCATTGCCAAGCAGGGCCGCAGGACCTGTCAGTGCATGTGAGATCCTGGACCTGGTGGGTGAACTTGGGGAACTGCGCTGCCAGGCCTCCACTCTTGCTGGGGAGTATAATAGCTGGACCTGAGGCTGCCAGGCCAGGTGAGGTTGCAGGACTCCTCAGAATTTGTGTGGGCCAGATCTGGAGGCAGGATGGTTGTAGCAGCCGCTGGCACGCACAAGAGCCAAGACAAGGTGTGGGCTGCGACTGGCTGGGCTAGGCTGCAGCACCCGCCAGCGATAGCTGAAACTGTGGGTGGGCCATGCCAGGCTGGCTTGAAGCACCCACCAGCACACACAAGATCTGGCGCTGGGAATGAGCCTGATAGGAGAACTCTGGGGACTATGCTGGACTGCAGCTCTCACTGGTGAGTGCGAGAGCCAGCACTAGGGGCAGACTGGGCTGGGCAAGTCTGCAGAGCAGTCACCATGCATGTAGGCTGGGTTTGGGGCAGTCTAGACTGGGCCAGGTTCCAGCACCCACTGGTACTCTTGAGAGCCAGAATGGGTATGGGAGAAGCCACACTAAGCCATGGCACTTGCCAGTTCACATGAAAGCTGGTTCTAGTGGTGGGCCAGGCTCCTGCTAGGTTGTAACACCCAATGGTGAGAACTGGAATGGGTTTGGGCCAGTTGGGCTAGGCCGCAGCACCCATCAGGTCACATGAGTGTTGGAGGTGGGCTATGCTATTCTAGGCTGCTGAGTCCACCAGCAAGAACTGGGACTGGGAGCTGGGGCACTGATTCAGCCTGTTGCACCTGCTATGAATGCTGAGACTTGGGGTGGGTCATCTCAGATTATACCACAGCACCCACTGGCACATAAGACCTGGGGCTAGAAGCGGGCCTGAGAGAGGAACTTCAGGGACTTCCTTGCTAGGATACTGTTTCCACTGGTGGGCATAAGAGCTGGAACTGGAATGGGGCACTCTGGGGGGTTGGGCAGGCTAGGCGCCATACCTGATGGCACACACAAGAGCCAGGATGGGTGTGGGCCAGCTAAGCTAGGCTGGAGCATCCGCTGGCAAGCTCCACGACTAAGAACATGTCATGTCAGGCTGGACCAAAGTGTCCCCAGCAGGTACAAGATCCAGGGCTGGGGAGTGGGCCTGCTGGGGAAACTGTACGAAACTGTTCTGCTGGGCTGTAGCTCCTGTTGGGGAGCACAGGAGCTAGGGCTGGTGGTACACCCGGTGGGCAAGGCAGCAGCATCCATCAGCGTGTGCGTGGGCTGGGGCAGATTGCAGGTTGGGCTGCGCTGAGCTGCACCATCCATGGGTGTGCATGAGAGCCAGATAGGATGCGGGATGGGCTGGGCCTGTTAGGGGTCAGGGTGGTTGCCTTGACTCGGCTGGACACTGCTTTTGAGCTTAAAGACTGAGACTTGGGCAGACTGGGCTGGGCTGCAGTACCCCTCAGTTTCCATGAGAGATGGCTCTGTGAGCAGAACTGACCAGGCAGCTCTGTCCACCAGTACGTGCACTGGCCGGTGCAGGTGTCACACTGAACCTGACCCTGCACTGGCTGGCACACCGACGTCAAGCTTAGGTCACCCTAGATGAGGTTTCTTGAAGACTCCTCAACGAGATCACTGGACTCAAACCCCGGCCACAGGGGAAATCGTAATATATGTGACCAGCCTCGGAGTGCACGTGTCGGGACTGGGCCTCCTCAGTTGCTGATGCCTGTGCAGTGGTCAGCATGCCCGGGTGCACACGGGGAACATGACTACCAGCTCATCTAGACCAGCAGAGGCTGCCAAGTGCCTGGTCAGAGGACGGAGAGCAGATCAGGCTAGCTCGCTCTCCTAACCAAGCTTTACAACGTGTCCCTGTGGATGCGCTGAGGTGGACTTGGCCAGCCAGTACACCTTGGAAAGATTTTCTCAACCCGGTGCAGTGAAGCTGGTGATTTCTCAGAACTATCAAGACCACTCGAGTAACACCCTCGGAACACTCTTCATCATATCGGGGTCGCGAAGGCAACATCAAATGGCTGTCCCCCATCACCAGGTGTTGATGTGGCCACCTCCATTCACCACCCTGAGGACACTGAAAGAAAAATTTTGAACCATTCGTCCCACCCACCTTCCTCCATAGCTTGATCCTCCCCACCCTCATCAGAGGCCCATGTGGACATGCATCCTTTTCAGCTATGTTAATAATGTTAGATTTTTTTTCATTCTTTTCTTACAAAAGTTATTTTCATTTTATTTGAGAGTTAGACACATTTTCTAGCTGCTGGTTCGCTCCACAAGTGGTCGGAATGTGGCCAGATTGCGGACACACGTTCCAGAACTCAGTCTGGGTGTCTTACACAGGTACGACAGTTTGGAGCATCAGCTGCTCCC